GGAGTACAAGGAACAAATTGTGCTCAATCTAAGATGGGACCACTCTGCATGAGGAATTATGAGGATACAATAGGTTTCCATGAACAATGTAATGAACCAATAATGATCAAAAAGAAGGGCCATGCTCAACTCAACTGGATATTTGAGCATCAAATCTGATCCAGTATTATGAGTAGGCTCCCAAATAGGCTGGTGCCATTCCTAACAACATCTGGGGAAAAAAAAACATCCAGGCAAACTGATCATGATTTATGCAACTCACTGATCAACAGGGATGGACAGGAACCCCTTGTGCTTTACTCATGATAGTTCATGAATGGCAAGCCAGCATAGTACAGTAATACTGCCCAGTCTATTATAGTATTGTTCCAATCTAACCACCATTCAAGATCAAAAATGTTGATCTTGAATAAAAAGACTGGGGAATCCAGTGGATCACTGTTCATGATCCATTGGTCATGTTGATACCACGGAAGGGACCTCATGTGCACTCCTCTTAAAGAAATGAGGGATTTGAGTGATGCCCACATCCCCAAAAGAGAAAAACTATCTGTGCAGTGGGAGAAGAAGACATGAGTAAGAGTCAGACTGCCTGTAATCCATAGCATGAAGTCAGATGGGAGTTGACTGAACCAGACTGAGATACGTGTTGAAAAAGACACCTAGATGTATGATATATTGTGTTGGAGTGAGAATAGATTTCTCAACTCTGACACGAAATCCTACTTTGGTTGTCTCGGAAAGCAGTATCCGAGTGTGACGTTCTGCCAACTGACAAGCAATAGCCAGTTGTCCATGTAATGGTGTGTGCACAGGCCCAGGGAAAGGAGGTGACAAGAAAAAGTTTGTATGAATCGGTAGAACACATATGGTGCCAATGCTAGTTTGAAGGGCAGAGCCCTGAACTGCAGGACCTGACCCTTGTGCACAATGGCGGGACGACTCTGCTATGGGAACGTGCGTATAAAATTGTCAGCAACATCAAACTTGGCCATCCACAGTCCTGGCAAAAATGCCAATGCAGAGTGAGAAATGATTTCATTGTGAACTTTGGAGGATCGAGGAATTGATTTAGATAAGAAATATTGGTGATCAGATGCCAAATTCCTGTATTCTTGAGCACAAGAAACAGACAGGAATAAAACCCTGGTAGAACAAGAATGACTCTCTCTCTCCACTGCCCCCTTGACTAACAAATCTCTGATAGCTATGGAAAGAAGTTTTGAAATCCAAGGATCTGCGAGAGACACAAGCACTACAGGTTGGGAGGATAATGGTGGTCAAGATGTGAATTGAATGACTAATCCTGATGCAAGAATGTGTGGTACCCATGGATCTATGATAAAGGTTTTCCACACATCCAGAAATTCTGGGAGCCGAGTCCCCACAGACTCCAAAGGCATATGTTAGTCACTGTCACTGCTAATGGTGTTCTGCATGGGTGGAGAAACCTCGTGGATATGAGCAGAATCTCTTCTGGGTACCAATGAACCAAGGGGAGCAGAACACTCAAATAGGGGTGGAACTATGACCCACTGTGGGAGCTGAGGAAAATTGAGAGGCTAATGACAACAAGGATGAATACAGATGAGCAACATCCACTCTTGATTCCAAAGGATCTGGAATGTCTACAAAATTCAATGGTCAGAAAAAGGGGGCCTCCCATAACTCACGGAGGGTGGCAGCAGGTAGATAAATGCCCTCCAACAATGCATCTCTACCCAACAAATCCCAACAACATATCAGCCATGAGTCTAGGGAAAGTGTAGAAGCTGACAATCGAACCAAGGTGGATGCCAATAATGTTCCCAACTTGTCAGCAAATTGACATGGAAATCGCCGAGAGGCTTCCAAAAAAGGATGTAGGGATGATAAATATCTCAGCACCATAGTTAGAGTCAGACAAATCCTAGAATATTATGATCTATTCAGGTTGCCCACAGATTTCGTTCTGGAACCCCACATTTCCAGGAGTGGGTCTATTTTTTGAGAGTCTAAATCTGCTTCCACCTGGCATTCGTAGGCTAAAACATGTTGTTCTGACAAATGTGATAGACAAGGCATAGCTGTCCCTTCATGTAACTGAGCGGTAAGCCTCCCTGCATAAACTGTAATATCAGGGGATGTAGGGAGAACTAAGTACTTGTCCTCAGATCTTTCCACCATCAAGAAAAACATAAACTCAAAAGCAACTGAAGAAAAACCCTAAACATCACACTTGATTTACCAACTAAAGAAAAGGAGCCAGGGGCAGCTCATCCAAATTGACCTCATGAGAAGCCGACAGAGTAAAGGAAGGCATTAGAAAATGCAAATCTAAATTCTCTCCAAAATGTTCAGGATTGCCCGCAAATGCAGCTTCAGAGCACCCCTGAGAAATAGCACTGGACCGATTGTATGTCCCCATCTCACTACAGATAAGGTCACGGAAAACCTCAACCAAGAGCGACTCCCTCCTGCTTCGTAAGCAACACCAGATATCAGAGGTGTGATAGAAGATTCCCGATTTGACTCTCCGTGCTGGATACATTAAGTTGGGAGTTCATGCCATATATTGACTTACCAAAGAGTTTTTTTTGTACAAAAATCAAATAGGTAACATGAAAAACGTTCAAAGTATCTACAATGGTCATACTACAGAGAAACCCGTCAGCGAATGCTTTGTTGAGAAAAAGTGACAATATTATTTGAAGGAGGTACCTATATACAGTTCCAAGATAGAGGATTCTAGCTGTAGTGTGAGAGGAGGTAAGTATGTTTTGGAAGTTAGCATTTTCTTAAATTGAAAATGTATTTCCAGTAATACTTACCTCCTCTCACACTCTCCTGCCCTGAAGGAGGTGCTTATATACAGTACCAGGATAGGCAGTGCATTGATGTAGGTGGAAAGTGTCACGAGACAGATATCATCAAGGGCAATTAAGTGGGGAATAAAAGACTGGAACAAGCAAGAAAAAATCAGATCAATGCTTATAAGGGCAAAGGGAAAAGAAACCATAACAGTTGAGTAGTAGTTGTAGTGTGAGTGGAGGTAAGTGTGTTTTGGAATAATTGTCAACAGACACCCACATCTGAAGAAAGATATAATAGTAAATTAATTCCTCACACATTTTTATCACTATGTATGAAGTAAATAATACATCAACACTATCAATTCTCTTAAAAACCTTAAACACATCAATCAATTTCCTTCTAACCTTTTTTTTTTCAAGTAAAAACACTTTCAGAGATATTAACCTATCCTCCTATAACAACCATTCCATCCCAAGTATCATCCTAGTAGCCTTTTTCAGAACCCTTTCCAATAATTCTTGGGTATGGATCCCAAGACTGGAGACAATACTCCAAATGAGGCTTAACCAGTGACCTTTACAGCAAAATTATAACCTCATTTAATAAAATCCTCTTTGTCCTACCACTAGCAACAGCACACTGCTTGGATGGCTCATGAAACTAACTAATCAGAACACCAAGATCCTTTTCATCCATAACACTGTTTAGATTATTCCCATCAAAATTATACTTATAATTTAAATTATGATGACTCGCATGCATTACCTTGCATTTACTAAGATTAAAAGCCACATGCCATTTATTTGCCCAAGTCACCAAATAATCTAAATCCTTTTTTCAAGCAGCAGCATTCTTCTTACAGCCAGCAACACCCAAAATTTTGATTTCATCCACAAATTTAAATAATCTATTGACCATTCCTTCATCTATGTCACTGATGTAAATCAAAAAGAGTAACAGTTCTAACTCTGAGCTCCGAGGTACCCCATTTGTGACATTATTAATCCAGTTCGAATGAACTCCATTTATAATAACTGTCTGCTTTCTTCCATTCAGCCATTCTTCTATGCAATGAACCAACTTATCCTCCACACCTACAGAGATCATTTTTGTAACAAGCCTTTTAAGTGGCAATTTGTCAGATATTTTCTGAAAATTCAGGTATACCAAATTCACACCCTTACCCTCATCCACATAAGCAGTAAACTCTTCAAAGAATGTCAAAAGATTGGTAAAGCAAAATTTTCCCATACTAGAACTTAACAAAATTTTAAACTTTGTACAGAAAACAGAATATTACAAAATCCAAAAAACATACCACAAATTACTATTAAAATTTAGTAACTGAAAAAGTAAATGAATTAATATTAGAAACAATAGAAACTTATATGATAGTTCTATAAAATATTCAAGAACACAAAACAGAGACGTGCAACTGAAAGCCACTCTGTGCTTTTCAACAATTAAACATGACAGAATAACTGGTAGTGGTAATAGTAATTTTACAAATGAGGAAGGGGATATTGGCAATGGCAACTGCATGTAATACCCATGGATATAAAAACAACAATTTTACTCAGAAAAAAAAAGTACAAGTTTAAGTTTTTAAGTCCACTTAATCAAATATTACTAATTAAAATATTCTAAAGTCACTTGACCAATATTATTATATTTTTGTAAATTAATACATTATTAATTTATTGTAAGTACTTTGAAGGGCCACAGGCTTTTGTTTTGTTATTACTAATAATATTATTTATATTTCTTCATAACTTAATGATACCTGGGTCAAGGAGTAACTGATGACATTAATCATAACGAATAATTAAACTGCAGAAAGTTTCTAAACTAGCATATAAGTATAAAATTATAAGTTTTAATGTAGGCCCATAAAGCATACACATTTACAAATTACAGTAATATAAGATTAAGCCACTATTGTAAACAATTCACGCTTTTACTTACAGTTGAAGTCGCACTGTGTACTCACTGTATACAGCTATATTGGTATAGTATTAGTAATAACAATATATATAGTCTACACTATAGCACAAACTAGCATTATCAATGAATTCAGCTTGGACACATAATAAATTCTGTAATTCAAGGAAGGGGAGAAGGATATTGTGATTCGTAAAATAAAATTATGCTTAATAATTTTAATAACGTGTTATTATTTCATATTAATAAAATAAATGATAAGTTACCCTCAATGAAATGTCTTCGTCCTTGTTTTCTCTCTGATCATCAAATTGACAAAAGAAGATAAAATACATAGCAACAGTATCGCCACCTTCTGGCAAAAATCGAAAACTCCAAAGTGCTTTTTCTAGAAATGGTTTATGTAAGAAAGGTTATTCACCTATAGTAAACTGTATTACTATTAGTTAGATTGTAAGATACTTATGTTAATGTACTCAAGTAACTTTTAGATATTTATAGTAACATTTTGATGAATCATTCAATAGATACAGTATTAATTAATTTTTGACCTTTTTTATTTTATTCAGTTTACCTAAATCAGCAAATATTCAGACGTGTAACTCTGTAAATGTAATACGAATACAATAAAATAGTTTGTCATTCATTGTTAAGCGCGATTTTAAAGTCCCACTCACGTAATTAATTTACCAAGTGCGGTTACAACGTAAGTCAAAATCGTACATTAAATACATGTATTTTCGTTACATTCAGAATGAAAATATGAGGAGAAATGAGTATGATATTGGCACTAAGAAAAGAGGTGAGACCGTCTACCCTGTTTTTTGAGTGCAAAAGTCATACTAATTTCTTCATATTTGTATTGAGAGACTGAATTTTAAATTTAAGCTAGCTTTTTTTATCGTTTATATACATGTATTCTTCAGTTTAGATTATAATTTCGTATTTTATCTATTACTAATACAACTAGATTTTACTTATTATGTCGTGTTTAACTCGTAAGTCTTAGCAGCTAATTTGGTTTATTATAGACATAGCTGAGAAAATAAGGGTTCTGAATCTGGCCGTATAGTTATAACCTACAGTTTTTTCTCATAAACCAGTATCCTATCTCAGATATGGAGATCAAAATTATGCACAGTATTTCAAGTTCAAGTGAGGCCTAACTAGTAATTTGTATGAAGAAATATGATCACTTGTTTTGACTTGTAATAAATTTATGTGATGCTTAAGCTAATATTAATTATACTAGTACTAGTAACACTAACAGACCACTGCTTAAATGGCTTCGGTAACTTAGCCACTGCTATGCCAAAATCCTCTTCTTCAGTTATACTGTTACTAATGAGTGGGTTTTCATCTGTATTAAATGTGTGATCCAAATTATGGTAACCCATATGTATCACCATGCAATTACTGTAAAGTCTTTTTACAAATATTTGTACAACATACCAATTGGTCAGAGTCATTCTTAATACCACAACATCTTCAATACAGTAAAAAATGCCTGAGAGTTTAATGTTATCAACAAACTTTTACTAAGTTACTCCTGTCAGTGATGAAAGAGGACTAACTGTAGTAACAAGGGCCCAGTTTCATTAAGTATCGTTAATAGCAAGCTGTTAGTAGTAACAATATGTTACAACTATGATGTTACAGTATGTTTTTCACCATATTGTGACCATGTCAATTTAGCGGATATTCATGTACTCAAGCTGTAATTATTTTTATAGTGTGAAACCTACTTATAGATATATATTTGTATGTTATCATTCTTAAACTGAAATATCATGCTCACAGTATATATAATGTATATTAAACATATGCAAATGTCTTGAACTTTAACCTGTAGTTGTATTTATGAAAATTTTAACAATGAATAGAACATGTAATATCATAAACAAATGAAGTTTCTACTTTTTTTTTCAGGAAAACAACCATAGTGTTTGATCAAGCATTTTTTTAAATCCTATTTCACAGCTATGTTTTTTTTTCTTTTAATCTCTTAGTGTCAATATGTATAATGGCCTAAACAGTCAGTTTGCAAATGCAAAAGAAAAATTAAACACACTGAAAGAAGATCCTGGTAATGAGGTCAAACTCAGACTGTACAGCTTGTACAAACAGGTTAGTGTATAATATCTATGGGGTTTTGAGTCCATTTTACTTCACCATATAGTAACCTAAATTAATTTAGGTATGCAAAAAAGAAATCTTTAATATATATTTACAGGTTAGTGTATAGTTACATGTATTTGACTGAAATGTACTTTCTTTGAGCACATAATATGTTTTTTGCCATTGCTGTAATTGTCATTATTTTTTTTTTACACAAGTACAGGACTGAGCATTTCACATCCCAGTTAGGTGATGGCAATAGTATGCCTCGTCCCCCTCTGGCTTCAGATCAGTCTGTCCTCGCTTATCATAGGGTGGACTGTCCATATCTGGACCAACAATTGTTGGTTCAGAGTTGCCTGTTTGCTGTTTATCTTACCCATGCCCAGTATTCCCACTTTTGTCTTACCCTGACAACTTTTTTGCTGTACCTCTCCTTAATCCACATTCTTTCTGAAGCTCTTCACAGGAACCCTGAGGGGTTTTTCTGGGGATGTTCTTTCCCTCCTCACTTCCACGTGAGGGGCATGTTTTCCAGCTCTGGGCTCTTCTGTTTAGGTTTGCCTTGGCTCCTTACGTATTTGTTTGGGTAGTTAAAACCTTCACTCAGCATCTACATTTCTGACCACACCCATTTGCTCCTGGAGGATGAAGCTTGTGTGGGTTGGTTAATCAAAGTAGAGAAGTACATCTTTTCCCCTATACAGTATCTAGTTCACTTGGAAGTTTCTTCAATTCCCACCTCAGTCAGGCCCAGCCATTTTCACTACATATTTGGGATATGGAGAAGTTGGCCATCAAGGCCCCATTCTTTCATTCTCCTTCTGCTTGAGAGATTTTATCTCTTTTGGGATTTGGGCTTCCTTGGAAGCTCTCATACATCTTGGTCATGCTGACATGTGTTCCCTCCAGTGGGAATTTTAAAATCAGTGGAACTTTGGCTCCGAACCTCACATATAGATATATTTGCCTTCCATCTAAACAACAAACAATCACCTTTCTGGTCTAGTGGTAGATGCCTTCAGTGAGGAATGAAGGGGCTTTCACATTTATGCCTTCCCACCTATATATCTCTTTCCCAAAGTAATCTCTTTCATCTACACTACTTTGTGTTGAATTCTCATAGTGGCTCTGTTTTGGCTGACTCAGCCTTAGTTGCCTTTCCTGAGGTTTCCCCAGTTGTCATCACCTCTGCCCCTCCCTCTGTTTCCTTCTCTCCTTTTTCAACCTCATTTGGATGTCTTCCATTCCACCATCTGGCTTCACACATAGCTTTTGTCAGGTCCCACTGTGTGTTGCTTTATTCCTTTCCCTCTCATTACGAACTTCCACATTGTCAGTTTACCAACAACATTGGATTACTTTTCATCATTGGTTTCTGCCCTATCCATCCTTCTGTTGCTCACCTTTCCCAGTTCATCACCTAGCTGTTAGATCAGGATCTTTTGGTTTCGACAGTTTCTGGTTATAGAGCAGCTTTGTCAAACACATTTTATTTTACCAGATTGTGCTAGGTCTTATCCTCTCCCATTCTTTCCCTCCTGTTCCAGTACTTTCATGTTCTTTGTCCTCACCATGCCTTTCCTGTGCCTAATTGGGATCTCATTTTCTTCTTTTTTGCCCTTTCCTAACCTCTATTTAAACCTTTGGCTTCATGTTCCCTGTATCATCTTTCCATCAAGACCCATTTCCTTCTCCTCCTGGCTTGTGGTTGTCATAGGTTTGACCTTTTTATGATAAATATTTCCTGTACTCTTTCTCATAGTACATATATTGTGGTATACCTGGACCGTTCCTTCTTTCCCAATACCTCAGCTGCCCATGAGGGAAATTCTGCCTTTACACCTATTTCCATCCCTTCCATTTCCCATATTTATTCCATATCAGATCTGGATCACCTCCTGTATTCTGTGTGGGGTCTGTAGTGCTATGTGGCTTGTACAGCTTCCTTTTGAAGTTCCCATTCCCATTTGTTTATTCTCTGGAACACTTCTCTGTCATGTGACCTCTCCCCATCATACTTGAGGGTTGGATTTGTCAGCGTGTTAGGTTGGCATATTCTTTCTTGTCCTCAGAATGGTGTCAACTTTATCATGTCTCATCTTATCAGATTCGACGTATCACCATGTCTATAGCAGCTTGTTTTCATCATCCTCTGGAGGTCATCTAGGCTGGAGTTTGGATTACTCCTCATACCTTTGTTGCTCACTACCTTCATCATCTGGCTGTGTCCTTCTTGGGTGGGTATTGTCTACCTCCTGTGGTGCTTCTACATCTACTGGTTTGATTCTAACTTGGGTAAGTGTCTTTTTTTCTCCTATGTTTTCTTTCAGGGGCCTCCACTTTCTTAATTATAAATTCGGATCCCACTCACTGGAGAGTGTTCCCTGGTTAGGTATGCTTTCCTACAAACCCACACCAAATACCTTTAAGGTTATAATGTGCACTGTTGAGATGGAGTGTTCGACAAGATCACTAGCAGCTTACCTAGTGGTGTAAATAAATATATATATATATATATAGAATTCTAAGTATATGGTGGACTGTCACTCATGGAATATCATGAATAAAGCATAAGGGGATTGCTACCCATCCCTGCCGCTCCTTTGATTGAATATGTCAGGAGTGGTCTGCTTTTCAAAATAGGGTTTCACAGTTATCCATTTCATTTTATCTAGTGTGAAATTCTTCTGGACTCCCAAACGCCTTTTACCCTTCCCTTCTTCTCGTGGAGTTTGGGAGTTCTTGCCACTTACCATTTCCTAGCTGCTGAGATGATGGACCATGGATGCTTCCTCATGTGTGTAGAATACACATCATAACATTACATTTTACTCCACTATGTTGAGAAGAGGGCAAAGCTGGGAACCCTCCTTCTTTCTACTCCTTGGAGGCTTAATCCTAGGTGTGCTGATGTTGGTGGGAGCTGGACTAGCCAATGCTGGATCCTCTTTGTAATACCGGGTTCAAGTTCCTACAGTTGAGACCGGTAGATACCTCCTTTCTTGGTTACTCCAGTTGCAGGATGTTTCATTTCCCTGCTCCTACAGTTGAGTTCAGGGGATTTCATCTGCCTCATAATACTGTTTGTGTGATGTATAATGCCTTGTTCCTTATGTTGGGCAGGCATTCCATCTCCTTCTTGTAATGCTGGGTTCACGACGTTTCTTCCTTGCTCTTATGGTTGGATTAGAATTGTTATTTTCTTGCTCATAATACTAGCTGCTGGATGATTTCCTGTTCTTACAGTTGAGTTGAGGCTTAGCCACAGCCCCATAAATCTGGGTTTGGTTTGTTGTACTTCCTGTCCATTTTTTCTTTATACTACTTCTGACTCTTGTCCTACCAGAGTTGATTTGTTTCAGGTTATGTACAGTTGAGAATGGACTGGGACTTGCATTGATCATTTACACCTGATACATTGTTTTTTGTTGTCCTTGTTTTACTAGCTCCATGCCTTGATGCCACCCCTTTTCTGCAGGGGGTCTCTTGTTTAATCTTACACTGGTCCCTCCACTGACTCAGTGTGGTATTCTAACTATTGCATGAGTGGAGGTATGTATCATGTCATATAAAAATACATAAAATCTCTGCATCTTATACATATGTTTACAGAACTTTAAAAATATGTTCAAGACAGGAAGATTTATGTAATGAATTGTTATTAATTAAATATGTAGCTGTTGAAAGAGGATTTGAACAAATTTGGTAGATAGAACTTTTAAGAAATTTAGCAAAGGTTTACTGTCACTTTAAAATACTATATTAAAATCTTATGAAAAAAAAATGAAATTGAAACTTTAAGTTTGCCTTATATTCCATGATAAACAGGTCAATTATTCAAAGCTTTTAAGAAGCAACAAAACTTTTATCTTATCTTTGAACCTATAAATAAGATCAAAGAAATTTCCGATACAATATCTTACCTCTCTCTCTCTCTCACAAAAGCTTTCTCGACTTATACTTTCCTCTATTGGCACAATTTTTTTGTTTCCTACTAGCCTTGATACTCTCACTTATTTCTGCATACTAACATGCAAGTGATTATGCATCAGCCCTCCAACCTCTCTGATCTTGCAGCTGTTAACGACTTCGTGATTGGCTGTCTTATTGAATAGTTGTTTTTTTTGTTTGTGGTTTGATTTACTTAACCACAAGTTTTCACTTTCTTAATATTTCTACATTAATTACATTGTTCTTTATGAAATACTAAGTTTATTTATTGTTCTTTACTGTTTTCATTCTCTTTTGCGGAGAGTTGTGAATTATCAGTTTTTTATCTCTTTAAATTTTGTGAATTATGCGCTCGAAGTTTCAGTTGATCACAACTGCAACTGCCTCCGTGAAATTACCAACCACATCCAATGGGTCGAAACCACAATTTTTGGCTCATGAAGTGATGCCTCTTGTCCATTGAAAGTTGACCAATTTCATGCAACAAACAGAACAAACTGATAATTTCCTTTCAAGGTTTTCAGTGATGGGCAGGTTTTGGATTTGGACAGCCTTTTTCCCTCTCCTGAGTATGCCTCTCAGTCGTGTGTCATTTTGGGGAACTTGCCCAGACCTTTTTCCCCTTTGGTGGATTTGATTATTCAAGTACGTTATGTTCTGTCCTTATTTTCCATTCCTATGTCCCACCCCTGCTCTTCTCTGGGACTAGCTTTTGGGTCATCATTTTAGTATTTCCTCCTTCCCTGGTTATTAGGGTTCATGCGAGTCATTTTGGGAACCATTTGGATTTGAGGGTTGGTATGCCTCAACCCCTACATACTATGAACAATCCTGCTTTTGATTATCATCATTCCAACTTCCCTTATTTGGACTCACAGCATTCATCTTGCTTCTTCCTTAGTGGGAGTTGGATCCTGATAATTTGATTATCTTTTCCCATATTTGACTATCCTTCTCAGATCAGACCAGACTCCTTCATTTTGCCCATTTTTGGTGGTGTATTTGAAGGTTCTCTCTCTCTTTTTTTAGGGACATGGGTTCTCTTGAAGCTCTCA